TCCCGTTGCCGGTCCCCGGTACGGGCGCGACACCAAGGGTTGCGATCCCGTTACCGGTCAGTAAAAAAGACAAAAAGGAAAAAAAAGAAAAACCCTTAGAATCTAAGTGATCGGTAAATATTAGCATAATGGTTAATTTTGTGTGTCCACTTGTGTAGGCTATGGGGTCCACTTGTTTGGTCAACATCAGCCTAGACATGGTTGTAAAAGTATTTTTTACATATGATTAACATTTAAACCAGTGGAATTTGAACAAAGCAGGTTACCCTCCATCATGCGGAGGGCTTCATTGGAAAAGACAGAGGCATCCCCAAAAAAGAAGTAATTCTCCTCAAGTCTGCAAGATTTCAGACTCAAGACTGCAAGATCAACTCTTACCTGAGTCTTCAGCCTGCTAGGATGCTCTGCGAATTTCACTATTGGTTCTGTTTCTCTGGAGAACTCTGAGTAACACAGGTAGTGTTACATTAAGGAGATCAAACATTAAATATTATGGATTTGACCTTGACTCTTGATGGTCAAATAAATTGGGTGGTTCTAGAATCTCTAATGATTAAAAAGAAACCTTTTCCTGAACAACACAAGCAAAGGGATAAAGAGAACAGTCATTCACCAACTTGCTTCAAAGTAGGCAGACTTTTATGACTAAAATAGTCGATTTTATGGCTGAAATTCTACCCATTTTTCTGAAAAGATAGATCTGCCAGTCTAGAAGTTGAGAGGAGAGCTTAATGGGGGAGTTTTATGTCCACATGTTAACAAGGCAAATACTTGGTAATAAAAATCTCAAACTAAGGATTTTTTCTCACCCAACTCTCTGAAGATCCTCTGTGATCTGCAAGAAAGAGTCACATGGTGTCACATCATTCCCCTTCCACTCCTGGACTGACCCTTGTCAGAAAGAGCCCTTCAGACTTTAGTTCTAGCCACAAAAACTCTACAGGACTTGATGGGCAAGCCTGTGCAGGGTCCGGAGAGGGGCCCTGAACACATTCTCTAAAGCCCACATCCTTCTCATTACTGCCTTTTCTATTTCTGAACACAAAATTGTATCCTCCTGCTAGAGAAACTGCACATCTTGTCACCATGATTTAACCATGACATTAAGTGGGAATGCATTAGACTCAAGGTAAGAAAGGGTTTTTCTGAACAAACATGAGGATCACTTGTAAATAGCAGCATTAGCAAATAAAATGTAACTGATCTGTTTGAAATAATAATAGTTCCTATTTCATGTGTGCCTGCTATATATCAACTACTATTATAAATAATGCACATGTATTAACATGTTCAATGCCCACAACAACACTAGGGTTTGACTCATTTGAAAGAGAAAAAAGATTAAGGCACAAGGATGGTGTCCAAATTTTTAACGTCGCTCTCCTAGTAAGTGGCAGAACTAGAATTATAAAAGCTGGTTTTCAACCACTAACCCTCACTAGCCTCTCACTACTCTCCAAGGAGTTTCAAAGGGCTGTTTACAGAATTTAGGTCAGGCAGCACCAATGGTTTTTAGTATTAGTAACCTGCATATTCTAATGTTAAAATTCGTGTTGAATTTTCACATTTATGTTCTGATCCCCCTCTTATGCCCTAAATAATTACACAGCAGATTGTTTACTTACTGATGTGCCCATTCATCCTGCTTTTACTACCTGAGAAGCCCTGAAAAGTCAATATTAGCATGTATTATCAGGAAGTGAAAAATTTACATCCCTAAGTCTTTCTTCCTCTGATCATTGACCGTTCCTGAGACTCTACCATGCTGTCTCTTGTCTTCTTTGTCTACACTCTTCTACCACTCTTAGTATCATCTTTACTTCCATCTCTTTGGATCATGGCTAAGTCACGTATGCACATGGAGTAAACCAGTAGGCTATTTGCTATTTTCACACATACCTCCCTCCTTGGTGGCAACATCTCTTCACCTTATGATCCTGGATAAACAAGGTATAGAATCTCAGTGGGCTGCAACAGAGATTGAGAAGGGATAGTCACAGAGTGGAACCGCTCACCACTGCCTGGAGCTAGAGACACATGATAAGAATGTCTAAGCCCATCCAAAAAGCCAATTATTCTCAATTGATTTGTTTCACACGAAGAAATACTGTAGGATAGTGATTAAAGGCATGGGCTCTAGCATAAAACTCTGTAGCCTGGAATCCCAGAGCTGCCGTTTACTAAATATGACCCTGGGTAAGCAACTTGACCTCTCTATGTCTCTGTCACCTTCACAGAAGGATAGCATATAAAACCCCGAGTTTAGCTCTTGGTCAGAATATATTACCAACATGTGTCAGTTATTATTATTTAGAGTCATAAAGCTTTAGACTTGAGTGACCTTTTAAAAGTCAACCCCTAACTTTTATTGATTGGGAAACTGAGGCAGAGAAAGAATTTGTCAAGGGGTACATAGCATATTTTCCTACTCAACAGGCCAGGACATTTACCACACCATGGCCAGCCTTTCTAGAACCTTCTTAGTTGTAGTACTATCTTAACTGTTTATGCTTCATATATGAAAGGTCAGTGTTTGTAAGTTGTTTTTCCTCTTGAGTGGATGGATTTATGCTGAGCCATTATCTCACTTGTCCTCTGCTCTGAGGCTAAGGACAGCAAACTAGACAGGATTAAGGATGCCAGAGAAGGGCATGGATCACAGGGAAACAAACAGCATTCACCTCAGCCTCACAAACACCACTGTGGGCAGTGAAGTAATCAGCCTCACACAGACCTGGGATTAAAAAAGGCGGCGGGGGTGGGGGTGGGGGCTATTGACCACAGAATTCATTCCTCCAATTCCCTGCCAAATGCAGGTTGATAGAAACAGGTCTTAATGCAGATTAAAGAGGCCAGTGTACAAGTATATTCACTGAACTCAAAGCTTACCTTTTTAAAATAGTTTTAATTCTGCAATGACTAGAACAAAAACATAGGTAAGATTATATGATTCGCATGGTACTGGTCTTGTTCAACAGCACATTCTGAGTACCTCCTCTGATCTGGGGACTAAATGAATCAGATGTGATTGACACCTCTTTACGCACACTGACAGGCACCCACAGAACATCCACCTAGACCTAGAAAGTAATCCTGACTGCAGGACCGGACCCTGTAGATACAACATGGATATCATCTTGCCCTACAGAGCTTATCTTAGAGCCTTCCTGGGATCTGGGGAAGCCGGTAGAAGACAACACTCCCTTGTTTTCATTCTGCTTGCCTGAAATTAAATCTCTTTATCCAACTCCTGTCTTTTCTCTTCATTACAGGTCCCCAAATCCCTGTGCAGACCAGTCCTTTAGCCTTAAAATCTTTACACAGGGTATCTGGAGACAGCCAGGTGGAGGTGAGGGTGATAGGGCTTTTGTCATTTCTCTCTTTTTCATAGTGAAAATTTTTACCATTCCTTCCTTGTCACAAACTGGCAGTTCCCACAGTGTATATGGGCGTATCTTGTTCTCTCCTTAATATGTTTATTTCTGCCTCCAAAATTCTTCTGTTTTTACTAAAACCATAGAAGCTTCTCCTCCCATTACACTCACACCACACACAAAAAGCAGTTGGAAAAACATTGTAATTATTCCCAACCACAACACTACTTCTGAGTAACTACAAAGAAGGAAGCTTCAGAGACCCATAGCTCAACTAGACCAACACCTGAGGGGGTGGCATAGCCGGTTACTGCAAAAGCCAGAGCCAGAACCCAGACTTCCTAAATTCCAGCCCAGTCCTTTCTACTAGGGAAAGACTGTTTAGATGCCCTCACCTTTGATGAGTAACATTTGATAATTCATTAATGAAACACCCTTGAGGGGGAGTGGGGACACTGACCATGTCCCTCTGATATGGAATTGCTGCTCTAAGACAAACTGCTGTGGGGCAGAGGTTGGTGTGTGTGCGTGCATGTGGGTGTGTGTGGGGGGGATGGGTGGGCTACATTTTCATAAGGATGATCATAGATCAAAGGACATACGTACGAGCGGGTCTTCAAAGACTTCATGCAAAGATTTGCATGATCTTTTAATTGCATTTTTCCATGAACTTGTTGAAGTACCCTCCTACATTTCGGTCAACTTGAGATATAATGGAAAGCAGATTAGCCTGGGAACCAAGTACCATACAGGATACTCACTTGCTGTGCGATTTTATGAAAGCCGTATTTCCTCTCTGGGTCTCAGTTTCCTAATCTACGGAAGAGCAGAGATCTCTGAGAGCCTTGCAGAGACGCCTGACAGAAAGACCCTGAAGAGAAGAAAGGGACAGAGGGAGGGGAGAAGGGGGGGAAGCTGAACCAAGGACAGAGAAGTGTACGAGGGAGGGGACGAGGAGCGAGGTGAACAGAAAATGCCTTTTCATAAATAAAACGAGCTCTCCAGGGCTCCATTGTTCACCTTTATGGATTTAAAACACTAGAGTGTTTACACATACATAGTAATTTTTGAATAACTGTGAAATGAATGAATGAAAAGCCTGCGAAGCCTGACAAGAGCGAGGAGAGAAACGGGAGGGAGAGAGCACGGACATACTCGGTGCCCAGTCCTCCTCGGTGTCCCCACATCGCGGGCGGGGACCCCCTCCTCCCCCCGGGGCGCGGAGACCTGCGCGGACTCGCGCGCTCCCTGTCGCCCTCCCCGTGAGCCGCCCTGAAACCGCCAGGGGGCGCTGCGTGGCCGCCGGGGCTGGGGCCCGGGGCGGAGCTGCTTTAAATTGCGGCTCCGGGCGGGTCGTGTCTCAGTCCTTCAGCCGGGGAGCAGCGGCAGCATCAAGCGTTCCACTCCAGCGCCGACCCGGACCGGACCCACAGCCTCTCCAGCGGCGACGCGGCCAGCAGGGCTCCCCGCAAGAACTTCCCGGGCGTGGTCCCGCCTCCTTCAGGAGCCCCAGGGGCGCACCTGCAACCTCCCCGCCGTCTGCACCTGCCGCCTCTCAACCAGCGCGGGAACCCGAGCGAGCCATGGCCAACGCGGGGCTGCAGTTGCTGGGCTTCATTTCCTTCAGGAGCCCCAGGGGCGCACCTGCAACCTCCCCGCCGTCTGCACCTGCCGCCTCTCAGCCAGCGCGGGAACCCGAGCGAGCCATGGCCAACGCGGGGCTGCAGTTGCTGGGCTTCATCCTGGCCTTCCTAGGCTGGATAGGTTCCATCGTGAGCACTGCCATGCCCCAATGGAAGATTTACTCCTACGCCGGCGACAATATCGTGACTGCCCAGGCCATCTACGAGGGGCTGTGGATGTCGTGCGTGTCGCAGAGCACCGGGCAGATCCAGTGTAAAGTCTTCGACTCCTTGCTGAATCTGAGCAGTGAGTGCATCCCAGAACCCACAGCCACTGCCCAGTGGCCCCAGTCCCCCATGGGCTCTGTGGTGGAATGGAGCTCTCAGCTCCTTCTGTCGTGCGACTGCGTGGTTACCAGTCTGAAGTTGATCAAATCTTCTGATCATCTGCTCTGTCCTGAGGAAGTGGGGGAATCCAGGAATGGGAAAAGGGAGGCCCAGGCTTAAGCTCTAGTTTCGCCTCTAACTCTCTGGGTGACACTTTCCTCCCCTTCTAGGTGTGGTTCCATTTTAAATTCCGATGAAGGTGGGTGGAGATTGAGAGACTGAAGGCCAAACTTGAACTTGGGCTCTTAAGCCTCTCTGTACATTTTAAGATTCTATGTAAATTGAGTATTGGTAGGGTTTGCACAAGAAAATGGGATGTCTTGAAAAGTTTGGAGCCTGGTAGTTTCTCAAGTGTGCAAGATTAAATAGATAATTCCAGAGTATTAGATAAGGAAGTTTTGTTGTTGTGTTTTTCTTTTTAAATTTTTACTATGACTTTTCCTAGTAAAAGTCACATTCCTACATGATATGTTCCATCTCAATGTCTTCTACTCAGGTTTGAGGTTGACTCCTTTGATTCTTTTGATTTTCAAGATTCAGTAAGTGAAGGGAGGTCCCTTCCAAGACTCCTTGAAGAAACCTCTTGAGATTCCTCCAAAGCTTTAGCTTTCAAGCCTGGGGTCTTCAGAAGAGGCAAATTGTATAGTATTATTTTGGAAACAGAACATTGGTGGCAGGTGGAAAAAGGATGACAAGAAAGAAAGGTTCTAAATAACCTCCCTAACAGAATAGGAAGGGAAGAGTGAGGGCGCTGGAGGAAAACGCAGCCAAACCGACACAGCCGGGAAGCAGGGGACTGAGAGAGAGTGAGAATCGGGGGGACTTCTCCAAGTCTCTGTCCTCCAGGAAGGAATTTCTGGGTGATGGATGTTTGCTTCTCACTTGTCAAGTTGAAAAGGATTATGTAGACAGAGATATTTCTAAGGGTGGTGAGGAGAAGGATAGGATGGCTTTCCCCCTTTTTTAAAATAAAAAGTTTTGAGTGCCTTGTCAAGAAGTCATTAAATTCCCGCACACTTTGGTAATAATGATTCATGGCTGGAGTTTCTTCCTTGAGAAATCCCATTAGTGGCCAGGTCCTGTGTGTCTTCCAGCCCTTTAAACAACTTGAAGAAAAGCTTCCTTAGTCTTTGCCTAGATAAACAAGACTGCCCACCGGCGCCCTGTGTGCCGAGGTGGTCAGTGTCCACACGGCTCAAGTTTACTGCACTTGCTCTGTCCACCTCCGAGTCAGCAACAACTTTTAATAGTGCATGTCAAAAGCCATAGGGTTTAGAGTTATTAAACCTGGTCCGAATCTGTTTAACTCTTTGAACACCTGTGGCATTTGGTTAGTCAATGTGCTTGGTGGTTTTGAGTGTTGTCATTTCAGCTTTTCAAGGTTACCATATTAGGATTCCTATATACCAAAACTAATCTGTAAGTTCAGTGATTATGTGTTGTTTGTTTTCGTCCTGAGTTATATTTATGTTTTCAAAGTGAACAATTGGGAAATAATCATTGACTATTCCGATGGAAAGATAAATATATTTAAGAACATGGTGTCAGGCATTTTAGGCACTATGTTGAGGAATTGGCAGATGGAGAGAGTTCTAAGGGCAGTTCCAGGGAGGCCTTTTCTCAATGTTATTCCTTTGATCAAAATAGTTCATTTTTACATTTTCAACATCTTTAAATAGGTTTACTTTTAACTTTCTTAAATAACCAAATGTAATCAGATTGATCCGTGTTGTAAATACTCAAACAGATCATTCTTACACGTGGTAATGTGTTAAAATGTTTTATTTTCATTTATTCCTAATATAGTTATTAAAGTTTTTTAAATTGTGGTAGAACCAATGAATAACTCTGCCCCCCCCCCCGCAACCCCAGACACACACACACACTGCCACACATTTTGGAGATTTCTTTCTAAACTTCAAATCAGATTCCTCTTTTTGTTTTGGTTAAGGCCATAGTTTATCCAAGGTAGGGCTGAGACCTTTCTCTCAAAACCAATTCCCAGAAGAGGGACCCTTGACTCACAAGTAGTCTCTCCCAACTTGCCAGTGACTCACAGGATGTCCTTGAATGGGGCCCAAGAAACCTGTCTCCATTTCTCTACTTGAGCAGTGGTGCTTAGTAGAGAGATCTGGGGTGGTGACTACATTACTTGGTTTTGGTATAGTTCTGTGACATCTAGAGATGAGGATTATCTGTCTGTATATAAGTAGTGTTTCTCATAAGAGGTTGCCTTTCATAAAGTGCTTTAAGGTTTTGAAAAGCTTAGCTGCAGGTTTTCTGAAATTGTACCTTGCTCTCTTTGCTAGAGAGCCCACTTGGCATCTTGGAGTCCAGATGCAGGGATTTATTAAGGTTTTGCATTCGACATATTAAAATCCCTTGTTCCCCTGCATTAACTAATGTCAGCTGTAAAAAGCACCATGACCTTCACAAAGTATCTAAAGGGATACATGTGCTTACACTGTATAGAGTATACACTGTATACAATGTAAGAAGTGAGATACAACAGGGCTTCTTTTACCTAGTTCTTGTCAAGCACTTTGTAAAAATGTAGCTGAGAAACTTACTGGAGAGACAAATATTACACTGTGCATTGTGGTTTTATAATGGCTGAGACAATTTCCATTCTATCCAAGGTATGTGATGTTTATAGACATTTGATGATTCTTGCAGGTGAAAGCTGGCATATATAAAAGAAAGTGCCAGAATGGCAAAAGTCACAGTTGCGGCAGATTTATCTTGATTAACGTATACATCTTGCCTTGTTTTGATCAATTCTTGAACTTTCAGAAAGCTAGTACCTATTTTATATGCTTAGCTAATTGCTTCTTCTTGTTTGACTTTAATAGCTAGAGCTATCCAAAGTTTGGGCTGACCTGGGAGGCTGCACAGTGGGAGGGGTGCAAGCAGAGAATAAGTAAGCATTTTGTAGGAATGTTATAGGGAAGATCCAAGCACCAGACAAATGGGAGGTTAGGCTAGACTCTCTCTCCAAGTCTCATCTAACCCTGGGATTCTGTAATTTGTTTATAAGCTCCTCTAGCCTGTTTAACCTGCTCTGCATGAATCCACATGTGCGTAGGTGTGCTTAATGAGTATTGGTTGTCGGAAGGTTTCCCAGCACTCTCACCATGATGTCAGGCTCAATCAGAGAGAAAAAAAATCACTGACTTGGACAGTCTTTGACGCATAGACAGAGAGGGGGGCACCCATGCATGTTTCTCCAGACTGTTTTATGCCTGCTGAGCCAAGAGCAGTCAAAGGGCCACTGATGTTCAGATCCATTTCAAGAATTAGTTCTGATTTTTGGAATGATGGAAGTTGAAACAAAAATCCAGGCTTGAGATCAGAAATTCTCAACTCTTACCCTGGTTTTGCACGAGGTAGCCATGTGTGTAATGGTGAGCCACTTGATTTCTCTGGGCTCAAGTAGTTTTCTCACAGATGAAACAGGGCAGAGTGGGAGGAACGGGGAGATGAACGCACAATCCATTCGTCCATTCAACAAACATGAGCCAGGCCCTGTACTTGCTTCTAGGGACGCACGTAAGATGATTTCTAAGATTCCTTCCAATGCCAACTTTCATTATTACTAACTTCAGTCACTGAAGGGGAAAGAGGCAAGGGGCATAGCTTAGGTTTCCTTGATTGGAGTGTTGAGTAAGTGTCATGGAGGTAATACAGAAGCACAAACTTAATCAGGAGGCAGTTTCTCTAAGAAACAAACAAAAAGAAAGGTAGCAAAACTTCTCAGGACATTCTGAAAAGTGGTAAGTCCTGCCTCATCCCAGACCACTTCAATTACTGACTGTGCTTATGTTCTGAGGTCACATCCAGTGGCCACCAGCTAATGCAGCAATAAAATGGAAATGCTAACAATGAGGACTCTTGAGAGACTTTGAACTCTAGTAAAAGTGAAAGATTTAAGAAGTGAAAAAGCCATGGAAATATAGTTCTGTGACAGTTAGTGATGAGCTCTTTTAATTACAGGAGAGAAGAGAGCAGTTTTGTTCTAGTCACCCAATGGTCAGTTCATTCATTCACCTAATATTTATTAAGCAACTGCTGATTCAAAGAGGGAATATGTGAGGGTGGATATAGAATTGAGATCTACTTTGGTTATGATATATAATTCATAAGGTGATAATTTGGTAATATGGCTAGTAAATAGCATAAATAATATCAGATATTTATGGGAGATTCTGCTGCTTGTGTAGCAAGACTTTAAGGTTTTAGAAAAAAAAAATTCCCACTTTTGTCTGTGCTTGTCTTTCTGCGCTTATGTTGATTGACCTAACTGTAGTACATCAGTAACCTCTGAATAATTTCTTGTCTTAGAAGTAGAGATCTTTGTAAGATTTTTTTTTTAATGTATAATTATACTTTCAGGTTGAAAGTGGTGAGAACTCCTTAGGGGGTCTTTAATCTCAAGATTATCGGTTTAGCTAAATATAATTAAAAGACTGCCTTCTTCGTTTACTGCTGAATAATGATGAGAAACAATAGTGCAACTTTTTGAATGTTTGCTAACTAGATTCTCCACAGACAACTTTAGTCAGCGATCATAATATTGTAGAGGTATCTGCAAATTTAAGAGGCCAGGAAAGGAATACATTTACTCCTAGATTTGATCCCGTCAGGCCAGCTCATAGTTAATACTACAAGGCTATACTATGTCTCTCTGGTCCACAATATTATTTTATAGCTTTCAAACATCCCTTTCAACTTCTCTGCCCTGCTGCATGTCATGGGGAGCACATTAGATGCATAATTTTAAAAATAAATCAAATTAAGCAAAAAAGTACAATTTTTTCCTCTCTGCATGAGTTTCTGACTTTCAATGACCTAAATCAAGCCTGGCTTTATGAAGCAAGATTTTAACATTCCCAGGCTCTCTAAAGAGGTGTTTCTCAGTATTATTTCAAAGATTAAGCTAAACACAAGAGTAAGTGTTTTTACCTATCTTGTTAAAATGAGTTTTAAAAGATAAAGATGTGTTCTAATTTAAATTAGTTGAACATAGATTGAATAATCCGTGGTGACTTGCCAGGTACTGTGCTTAGTGCTTTGGATGGAAAGATGAATAAATATCTGGCTCTAGTCATCCGGGAGCTCACAATTATATATTTTAGATCTCTAACTTAAAAGGCTTCTATAAGACCCTAATTTGAAAGGATTCATCTAGTTCCAACTTAAAACCGTGCAATTTAGATTTGATCTGCACATAAAACCCTCATGACTTGTAACACAATAGTTGCTTACTTTGACTTGTAATTACAAGTCATCATTATATATGCCTGACTTGTGAGCTTTCATGCTGTTATGATTCTCAGCCTTTTTTGTTACATGCATGTGTGTATTATTTCTACATTTCCCCACATATCACTCGAGTTAAGAATTTATCCAAATGTCTCCAGTGAAGCAAGGTGAGATTTTGTGTTTGATGCCAACCTAATATTGCAAAATACAAAGAAACTTTGTGAGTCAATAGATGGCAGGATGTAAACAAAAAATACTGCTTTGCAAAACAACATTCTTACACTACTACATTACCACATTTTAAAATGAAATATGCTCCCCTTGCTCTCTGTGGTTTATGTTATTCCTAAGGATTTTTTTCGATTTTCCTCATTATTTTTTATGCATTATACAAATAATACATTATTCCAAAAAAAAGAAATATTGTAGAGAATTATTAGCAAACATAGATAGAATATTTGTCCCCTATCTCTTAGAAACTTTGTAAAAGAAGAGATAAATTAGTTGTGACATAATCAAATGTGGTTATGTGGTTTTCTTGGAGAACTTAAAGGGGAAAAAACTTAGAGATTAAAAATGTGAATATTAGATCATTCCAGGTTGATGCAGATAGAGCCCTGGAGTAGTTTACACATGTGTGCTCCTTGCCTGGGAGACCAGTAATTTTATATAAGCCTGACTCATGTGAGTGATGCCCAGTAGACTCCTCATGAAGAATACCCTGTGATTCAAGTGCTCAGACCTGCTGGGCTAGTGGCCAGCTGTTTTTGCTTGAAGAACAGATCAGTATGATTATTATATAAGCTGGATCCAGTTTGGGGACCTACAACTCAAACACAGTGGAAAACTTGGACAGAGATCAGAGAAAGCATGAAAAGTGAATAATAAAGGGTTGGAAGAATATTTATGAGAAAATAAAGTGGAGGTGGTTGTGAGATGTAAGAGGCTATGCATATTTGAAGGGCTGTCATAGGAAGAAAGTTTAATTTTGTAATCTATGTACTGAGAGTAAAAATCATGTCACTTCTTCCTTAAGACCCTCCAGTCAGTTCTGATTACACTTAGAATAAACTCCAAACCCTTTACCCTCGCTTGCAAAGCTCTGCATGATGTATTTGCCGTCTGCTCACCTTACTAAACCTCCCTTTACTTTCCTACTTACTTTCCTACTTCCTACAGTAGGGTGACTAGCTCTCCCAGTTTTCCCAGGGTTGATGGACTTCTCAGGATGCAGGACTTTTAGGTTTAAAACCAGGACAGTCTCAAGCAAACTGAGATGTGTGGTCACCCTGCCATCCAGGCACATGATTATATTTGTTACTTTCAGTATCTCCTCTTTCAGCATTTCTATGCCTGAAATGTTTTCCTTCTGAGTGGAATCTTAGGACCAAATCTGAAATCTGTGTTATGTGTAAGAGTTTAGTTATTTTATTTTCCTTCTAAGTAATGACTGTCTTTGCAAAAACTGCTGGTAAATTAGAAGGAAGGACACACCTTGAACATGGAGTTCTTGGTACATTCCTAGTCATACCACAGTATGGTTTGTGATTCCGAGGAAAAAGTTTTATTTTAATCTCGTAAGCAGCTTCAGTTCCTGGTAAACCTGTGGTCTATGAAACATGTGCTACCAACCTGGAATCTCGAAATTAGCGTGTAGGTGGGTGTGCATGTGTGCCCACACATGCTTACGAGGAGTGGATATGTAAGGGGAGATGGGGAGTATCTCTGTTTGCTTTTTAATGAAATCAAGTAAGAACATATCTTGGCTTCCAAAATAACTCTAAAATAATGTAAAAAATACCTTTGATACTTCTTGGAAAGAAATTAGTATGATTTTATCATAGATTGTCTGATAATGTCAAGGATAAAAAAAATCAGTAAATTAAAATTCAATGATATTTTAGAATTTTTTAGTTTTCATTATGATTGGTTAACCTAAGTTCACAACCCTGAAGATACTAAGACTGAGGCTAGGTCTAAATTGGATATTGAGATATAAAACCTTTTTATCATCTCAGCCACTTTTGAAGACCATCAAAGAAGGATTCAATTGTTCCAACTCCCTGGATAGAGTTATTATCATTCACATTTTACATAATGAAAACACTGACCCAAAGAATACTAAGTAGACTACTCAAGGTGATATAGTTTGTTACAATGTAAATTATACTTATATGTTCAAAAATATTTGTCATATATTAACACTGTCAATGAGATAGTGATCTTTACTCTACTGAAGGAGGCAGTAAGTCTAGAATTGAAACAAAATCTTCTAACCAGTGTAGTTTCAGCTCATATTTTTTTTTGTCTGTGCCTTTATGCCACAATGATGGTATAAAGCTTTTATTATTTAAGAAATATACTAGCATAATCTCTCACACCTGGCTCTATTTGATCATTACTTAGTACACTAAAGACAATAACAGGAAATTAGAAAATTAATAGAATCCTGAGAAAACTACGTTGAAATGTTATATCTATTGTACAGCATAGCAGTGTAAATAGTTATAAAAACTGGTGATGTCTCTGAATATGAATCTACTACTATGTTCTAAGGTAACATCTCAAAATGTTTTTGCTTTAAGAAGTGGTTTTCATATCCTTTCTCTCCCCATCCCACCACTGGGATACAAATGTTGCTTATCCAGCCGTGATCATCTATGAAAAATTCATTTTTTATATTCCAGATTCACCCAGTTTTGAAGCTTGATGATTGGGATATAAAGCAGGTGACCAATACCAAAAATATATTGTAAACCATTTTAGTTACAAAAGTTAACATCAAAGATATTACCTATGATTGCTATTTTAGAATTAAAATACTCCATTAATTAGCATTAAATATGTATTAGTTCAGCTAAGCCTATCCAACTAGACCTTTAATTATTTTTCCACTTGATTTTGAATTTAATGTTGAAAACATAAAATGTTAGAGCTGGAGGGCCTCTAATTCATTATCCAGCCCAGGCATTTGTTTTTCTGGAGAAGGTACTGCGTTGGTTACCAGCAGAAACCTCACTAGAAGTGGGGTCTCCTGGCTCCTAGTTCACTTTTCTGTCTTCTATAAAACATTGAAATATACTTGGTTTTCTACCACTCTTCCTTTGTTGATCTAGGCATAATTTTTACATGTTCTAAAATGTTTTCTGCCAGGTACTTTGCAAGCAACCCGCGCCTTGATGGTGATTGGTATCCTGCTGGGACTGATAGCAATCTTTGTGGCCACCATTGGCATGAAGTGTATGAAGTGCATGGAAGATGATGAGGTGCAGAAGATGCGGATGGCTGTCACTGGGGGTGTGATATTTCTTATTGCAGGTAAGAGAGGCCCTGCTCCCCTTTCACCTTACTACCCTGTCCCTCATACGATCTGAGGCCTAGTTTTCAGTTTCCTTAGATTATATTGCATTCGTGCAAATATGGGCCTTAAGTCAGGTTGACTTTCATGCTCTCACACAGGAACCAAATGAAAATTTGAGACCTATGCTCACAGTGAGGTGGTTTCAGGTGCCAAATGGTATGTTAGAACCAATCTCTGCAGGTAAAGAGAGATTTTGGCTACCTAGCAAACACTGAAGAACAATTTAATGTAATTCAGGAAATGTCTGTGGTGTCTCCAAAGATACCATGTGAAAAAGATGGGGAGAGTGAGAGAAAACAGAAAGAATATGTAAATCGTACAGGTACAGGAGGGATGAATGGGGTTAGAATTATTGGAGAAAAATGAGGACAACATTCCACATAGGAAAATCTAATTCCAGAATAAAGAGGATATACCCATAGATCAATGCACACAAAAGCGAAATAGAGTGGAGGTGGAACATTGTAATGGTAGAAACTTAGGTCAAATGAGTTAGGAAAGAAAACTGTAGAAACACCTTGAAAAATCCTTGATAAAATAATGAGATTATATTTTTCAAGGAAAATAAATATGTATTTGTTGCTTTATTTAAGTGTTGATGGATAAATTATGAGTCTTTTGAGAAAATGAGAGCCAGAGGACATGGACCACACTATTTTGAAGCTTTATAATAAGGCTTATTTTAACTATGATATACTATAAATATATAATGTATCTATAGTTATAAATGTAGATACATTATATGTCTATACATATTATGTATATACTTTATATCTATATGAGAGTTCTTCAAAAAGTTCATGGAAAATAGAATTAAAAGACAATATGAGTCTTTCAAACTTTCTGAAGTATCCTCATATATACTATATGCTACCTGTAAATCTATCTATATGTCTATCTGTATATGCTATCTAGATATGTACTATATATACTATCTATATATATCTATATACTATAAACTATATATAATATCTATATATAACTACACATACACTACATGTAGTATGTATAGTGGTCTATTGTTATATATACATATACTATATTCTATCTATTATATAGTAGTTTATTGTTTTTGAAAATAGTACTATTGATATAAACTTACTACTATGAAAAACTAGAATTAAACTTCCTTTACTTTTCTTTTGACAGAAGACCTGTAGGAGCATAACATGTGGGTTTAACATGTGGATTTAAATGATAATGGAGGGAGAGTGTCTGTGGCTTTGCTAAAGTTGTGGTTAGTTAAAATGGCCAGTTGTTTGGTTTATCGAGACACAAATTAGCTCTTGTTTGAAAAGGCATGGATGGTGTTTTATTCCCAACAATTTAATCTTACATCAAAGGCTGTGAATAAACTTATCACAAAGCACTCCTCTGTTGCTTGCCTCCTTGTAACTCCCATAAGTGACTGCATCACTCCCACTTCAGTTTCAGGGCTTTCCTTGGGAGTGAGGGTCACATGTTCAAGAGCATTGACGTGGTCTATTTGAGCAGCCAAAAGCAATAGTGTTTTCTGTCAAGTATTAGAGGCAAATAGATGGGACCACTTTTTTGGAGGGGAAGGGAGTAGCATAGAAACATTTAATCTGTCTGTATTGATGTATTCTTAAAATTACTATAAAAAGAAATTAGTTTGATTGGATAAGAAAAATTGAGGTATTTTATACTTATAAAAAAATGAGGTATTTTATGTTTTTTATAAATGATGGATTTTGACTAAGTGGTTTCTCTGGTATTACTGAATATAAAATGCTATGGAAAATTGAGATAGTGTCACATAAACTGATCTGATGTAGCACCCTCAGCAATGTCAGGTATTGCCTTGGCTAGTAGAGCAACAGAAATTTGGGTGTTCTGGTCCAAAATTTATGAAGAGCATAAATTTTGTCTAACTCCAACCTGATATTTTTGTATGTCTTGACAGAATACTTGAAACAAATCATATCTGAACTTCTAATCTCCCTAATTCTAAAATAAAAATGTCAACATTACTGATGAGATTTAACTCTTGTAAAATAAATTTAGGTTTAATGGGCTATATATTTGTACTCAGTGTTCCATACTGATTAATGGACTTTTGTTTTGAATTTCTGTAGGTCTGGCTATTTTAGTTGCCACAGCATGGTATGGCAATAGAATTGTTCAAGAATTCTATGACCCCATGACCCCAGTCAATGCCAGGTAATGTTATTCACACATAAAATAGTTTGTTCTGTGAAAAAATACTCTTTTTATGTGCTAAAGTCCTGCTTGTACTGTAGTTTCCTAGATTTGCTTTTAAGAATTTTATGGAATTTTACGTCAAACTTGCAAACAATTTAAATGATCTGTGACTCATGTTAAAATGAGTTTGATAATTGTTCTAACAGCCTGTTAGAAAATGACAAAATGTACTTCAAAGTAGGAAAGTTTTAACCTCTATACTTTACAACTGTATGCTGGACCTTTCCTCAAGTATTAATAAAGATGTCAATATATTTGAAATTTTGAAATTTTCTTCTTGAAGTGTATTCTGATGCTTATTTGAAATTACACAGTTTATTATTTATTAAAAAAAAAAATAGGCCTACTGCAGGAGTTAACTTTATTCCCAACAGTTCGTTTATAAATGTAAAGCTATGCTGAGCGTTTTAGTACATTGAGATACCACTTTGAAATTTTATGTTCCATCACAACTATAAAATTGACTTTACAAAGGCCATCTTTCTTAATGTTGCCAGTTGTGTAAGTTGAAGAGCCAATTCTTGGCTCTCGCTTAAAAACACTCTTTGATCAGGAACAAGGCTCTTCGTCTCACTGTCTCCACATCTTTAAAGCCTAATAACTATATTCAGAGTCAGGATATTAAGATGTAATTATTGTCTAAGAGCTAGGATGAATGGATGAAAAATCTCAGTGTTTGGATAGATAAGGTGCACTGCTTTTTGTATCACCCACATGCAGAAGAGCACATACAGCAATGATTATCTTGGAGCTTATCCCATAAGATTTATGATGTAGGGATGGAAACTGCTGGAGGTCAATAGGCTAATACTTTACCAGGGTGATAATAGCAGTAATGTACATGAAGCATTTTATAAATTGCTAGGCACTATGCATTTGTTATTTACATTATCATACATGATCCTGAAAGCAGTTGGGTGAGGCAGGTGAGAGTATCCTGCTTTAAGAAAAGAAGAAACTGAGGGCGAGAGGTGAAGTTGCTACCCCAGAATTGCAGCAGTTGAGAGTTTCCATCATGATTCAAACCCAGGCCTTCAAAATTCCAGATCCAGCCTTTCTCTACCCTGTTGTCCACAGTCAGTCACAGATATCTTATCCCAAGAGTGTTGGCTTAATAAGTTCGCCTGGGTCAGCTTAATCCAAAATGGTTCGTGGCCTGCTCCGAAGTCTTTTCTACAAAACCATAAAATTTGAACGTCAGTTTATATAGTTGCCTAGGATAAACTATTCAAAACTCTGATAATCTCAATCGCACCCTAGCAGTTTCTTTGTAGAATACGATTGCTACGTGTAATGGCATAACTTGTTAAACGTTAGCCTAGGAACTATGGTCCAAACATCACTTCTAAAATATATAAGCATGCTATACAAGTCTCTTATACATGGAAAAGTCTTTGGAAATATTTGTGTAATTAACCTGGTATCTCAGTCATATTGCCTGATCTACTATGGCAACTTGTCAACAATAGCAATGTAAACATTTATGAACCTTAAAGTACTTTCCCAAGGGCTCGTGGCAGGTTATTTTTAATGAAAAAATAATAGAATGAGTATGATCTTGATTTTCTTCTTTCATTACATTTGAAAATTTGTCATTGATTTATTGATTCACAGATGCATTATCTCTTCATTCTAGGTATGAGTTTGGTCAGGCTCTCTTCACTGGCTGGGCTGCTGCTTCTCTGTGCCTTCTGGGAGGTGGCTTACTTTGCTGTTCCTGTCCCCGAAAAACAACCTCTTACCCAACACCACGGCCCTATCCAAAACCTACACCTTCCAGTGGGAAAGACTACGTGTGATACAGGCAGATGGAGATGATCCTGTTGGAACAAACAGAAAAAGGACATTGAAATACTATCATTGACAAGAGGACTTTAGACTTTCAACTATTACAATCTGAACTATGGCATTACAAAAAAAAAAAAAAAAAAAAAAAGAAAAGAAAAGAAACAAACCAAGAAACCCATATTTTTTTAAATACCTATTGCTAGAAATGGCTTAGTTGTATTTTATCTCTTTTCCTCAATACAAGAGGGAAGCCCTTCCATTTGTATTACTGCTTCCCACTGAGTAATCACACTCAAAGGGTGGGGGTACTCCTTAAGTATATATAGATATGTATATATTCATGTTTTTCTATTAAAAACTTAGACAGTAAAATACTCATATTTTCATTATGTTGGCAAGTACACTTAAAATATCTCTAAAATAGAAAAATATTAAATCCATTTGTATATTTTTCTTCTTTCTCTATATATACATATAAATAGGTCAAATACCATTTACCTTCCTTCATCAGCTTTTAATGTCTTTGCCATAAGACCTAAGCTACTTTTATCAAATCTGTATTCTTCCAGTTCTTCATGTGAGCCTCTTCATATACTTATTTTATTTTTTAAGCATAATCTTATAGTGCCTGCTTCTTTGTTAGGTCCTTATTTGTTTTTTATTAGGTTGGTCTCTAAGTCCAGAATATAACACATTTCGTAGTCTACGTTTGAATTCCTAAAGCCAATAAGAATCTCTTGCACATCAGAGTTTTGGGAGCAGATTTTTGCATGGCCAAAATGATATACTCCTGTTGATCTTCCCACACAGTCCCTGTACTCTGACCTATAGCACTCTTGTTTGCTTTGAAAATATTTGTCCCGTTGAGTAGCTGCGTGCTGCTCACCCAGGTGTTGTAACACACTTTTATAGACTGAATTTTTTAAGCAACTTATTCACAGTCGTATTTCTCCTCAAACTACCTTTTTCTTTCTCCCTCTTCAACTATCTGTTTTCCCATATGTGATTATCATACAGTTTACCTCTTCCCAAAGAGGTGTGGTCTGTTTGCCTGAACAAAGTGCTACACTTTCTGGAATAATAATCTGGTAACAAACATTCTCTCTGTAGTTGTAAGCAAGTCACTTAATCTTTCTACCTCTTTTCCCATCTGTTAAATTGAGATAATGATACTTAACCAGTTGGTAGAGGTAGTGTGAGTATTAATTAGTGGATATCATTCTCATTCTTTGAACATGAAATATGCCTAAGTAGTATTTTTATTTGCTGAATGGGCTGTTTAGAAGTCACTGAACAAAACCTACACACACAACTTCACATCTGCCGATATCTTCCTCTCTCCACTGATGTGTTTCCTTTTCTCCAGCTGTGCCTAGCAGGTTGTTGGTGCTCTTTCACATTTTAACAACTGCTCTTACTTTTAAAGTCTGAACAAAATGCTACTTCACTTGAGCAAGATGGTATAATGTCAAGGGTGTTGGCTTTGATGTCTGGAGACCTGCATTTGAGTCCTAGTGCTATCGATTACTGTCTGAGTTTGGGCAAGGCACTTGGCTGCCCTAGATTTATTGCTTCATCTGTAAAAAGGGGTGTGTATTTCCTGACCTGCCTACCTCGCTGGGATGTTGTGGGGATCCAGTGAGATGGAATACTTGTAAATGTGGTTTTGTAAGGTGAAAAGTGCTCTACTAGGTGAAAGAATTATGGAATTTAAGTGTGTAGTTTTGGGGGTTACTTTTCAAGCGACTGAAAAGAGAAATTTTAAGAAATGGGTTTCTTGCCTTAACCAGTCTCTCAAGTGATGAGACATTAAAGTGGAATTCAACTCACTTAAAGAAAGGAATTCTAATAAGTCTTAGTTTCTTCAGTCAGTATGGCCTGATGCTTTCTGTGGCAAAGCAGATGTAAGGGGGGAAACAAAAGCCTAAGAATGAGCAAAACCAACAGTATGAGATTTTTTTTTTAATTATAATAATCTTGTAAGGGTATAAGAGGTACTGTCTGTTAAGGGATGCCCTCAGAGCTCTTGCTTTTAGAGGCAGCCAACACCGCAAGGATAGTTAGTTTGGGAATGGTACCTCATGGTGAAAACACATATGAAATTATCCAAAGGACTGTGTTGTATGAGGATTTGGACCTAGTAAACTTGAGTGTGTTTTCCAGACCTGGAAGTCTATGCTTCTAGAAGTTATGATTCAATGAGAATTTTGCCACATACATAGATTCTAATGTTGTAAGAGTAAACGTATGTGGATACCTGTTGTTCTACAAAAGAAATCTATAATCCAAAATGAGCAACAGAATTTGTTACACCAGAATTTATCTAATTTTGATATTTTTATACTCTGCTACCACACCTAGAAACAGACTAACAGATATTTTGGGGTTTTGTAATGGGAATTTGTATAAAGCATTACTCTTTTTCAAAAAATTGTTTTTTAATAAAACAAAAAACAACCTTGGCATGTTTTCTAATTATTTATTTGAAGATGGCCATGCCTAGAAGAGGAGGTGGCTTGGGATAGGACCTGACTCATTATGTGTTCCTGGGAAAGAGCTGCGATGCCTCTGGGCCATCTATCAAGTGTTTGAGCAGCTCCACCCACTAGAATGCCCCATTTTTCTCAACCCGAGCTCCTTGTATGCCAGGAGACATTACTTAATTTTCCTCATTTATGAAAAGCTGACATACAACAATGACTGGCTAAATGATAAGTTATGAAGGTATTTTGTCAACTGTAAAGCACGATGCAAGCTTAAGTGGCTGCGTTCCTCACAAAGGTGGAAGAGTGAAAAACACCAGGCTAGAAATCCGTTGTTTTTCTTATGATTATGATCAAAACTACCTCTTAGGAAAGCAAGTGATGAAACTCATTTACTCATTATCTTAAAGTACCAATAATTGATAAAACCTTACATGTGTGGCCTCTCCCTAAGCAATTTTCATATTAATGAGACCAGGCTTGTAAGCAAAGGATTGCACCTCTGATGTGGAATTTCAGATATTAGCATGGTGGGTGAGAGACCAACATCATTGCCAGTCAATTGGATTTGAATTCCCCTTAAATTAAGCAGGTGTGTCAGAATTTCCACTCTGTTTCTTTGGAATTTAAATCTCTGAGGGTGGAGCTCAGGCCCAAGAAGTTTGAGAGAAAATAAAATTCCTTGGTGCTCCTGAGAAGAACTGAAAGAAAACCTGGATTGTAAATCATACCAAGTAGACATCCACTTCTGTGTGAGCTCGTCCTTATATGAATGCTGTTGTTCTGCAAACCAATCACTTTCCCTCCCCCTTAATTAGTACTTTCACAGTGTACCAAGGTCAAAGGAAAACTCCACTCTATCTCTAACTTCCCACATTTTTTAGCTTGTCGTTAATCCTAGTGTGATCTGGTTGTGGATTTTTCCTTCTTCTATTTGCATGTGGCTCAGGTGTCAGACTTCCGCATTATCTTCCTCTCCTACCCTACAACATACCTATTTATTTCCAGCCTACCCTAAAATCTCTTGATTTAGCTGGCACCATGGAAACTCTGAAAAAAGTCATTGCAGGTTCTAGGGTTATGTGAGGGCAGCTTGCTGAATCCTAAAAACAGGCAATCAGAGACTGTCCCAATGCTGAACATCTGCTTGCCTCATGGCATTTCTCATACTAAGCTTCTACTGACAGGTTTTTTCAAATATGGCTGATATTGGCATTTGGAAACTGGATATGAATTCACTAAGCTAATATTTACTGAACACTAACCATAGGCCCAGCCCCATTAAATGCAGACAGGCTATAGGAGCTATGAAATTAATAAGACACTGTCCTGGGCCCAAGGAGTATGAAGAATGTTAACTGGGAAGTGAAGTAAACTTGAAATCTAGTACTGGTTCTGCCCTTTTTCATCCATGTGAATTATGGAGATCTCTATTCACTGATTCTTCATTTGTAAAATAAAGGGCTTCGACACATGCAATGGTTTTTTATCTATAACAGCATGTTAGAATCACGTGGGAGTTTATGAAAACTTCCTGATTCCAGGGCCCTACCCCAAATGAGGGAAGTCAGAACCTCTGAGAGTCCCAGAAGATTCCAAACCACTGGACTTTGTCATTTCTCAGGACCAATCCTGCCCCATTTTCTGAGTAAACACACATCCACGCACTTAATAGATTACATTGCTGTGTGTACACCTTTTCTCTAATGTTACTACTGTTTTATTTTCTGGTTTTTGGGTTTGAGTTTTTTGTTTGTTTGTGTTTAGTGGGGAAAGGGAAGAGTTAAAGAAGGTGGTCTTCAGAAGCTTTTGTCATATTTCTGTGGTAAGTAATCTCCTTTTTTGTCATTATCTATTTTTAATTTACCTACCGAGGATAGCCATTAATATAAAGCAAACTCTGTTTTAAGAAGCAGCTCTCTCTGTTTAACAAGCAATGTGAACTCGAGAGGATAAGTGATTATATATAAAGTGGAGCCTGAGTTATTTTTCTTTTTTATATAAAAAATTCGGGAAAGTCCTTAGTTAAACCTTAACCTTGCTTCATTTATTTTTAATTGAATAGCATTTTTTAAATTTTAGTTTACTTATTTCATCATTTCTGTGATTTATTACTTCAATTCACTTTCCCCTCTTCAAAAAAAAAAGTAAACACGGACACACACACACAAACCAATTATGAAAAGCTAAAGTTCGAAAACAAGATGAGTATTTCTTAACTGAGTTGACCTGGACTAAAGCACACTGTTATCCCAAAGCAACTCTTTTGTTTTTCTTTTTAATCATTTTTGTCAATTAAATTTTCTGTTTCCATTAATGCTGTGCTTTCCCCAACCATCTACTGCTGCTGCCTGACTCTATAAAAAATCCAACGGCCTATAAGTGATTTGAGTCAAGCAGACATCTGGTTCAAGAGTAAGATGTAGCAGAGAATATTTCCTGGAAGATATGAGTGGAATATAAGAAAGACATATAAGCTCCAATACAGCAAGGGATTTTCTTTATTTCTGATGATGATTTTTTCTCACAATATTTATTTTTCCTGATAATAAACTAAACTTGATAATGAAGAAAGTACAAAAATTTAGAAAACTAGAAATAATTATTTTAAAGACTATGATAGTTAAATTACCCAAAAGCAAAACTTAATAATTTGATGTGATCTCTAACATTTTTTCTTTCCCAAAGATTAGCTTTGGGGCTTATTCTTGTTTGATTTTTATATAGTATGTTGTAAAAGTAATTTCAATTTCTGCTTTATTTTCCATTCTAGTATGTGATAATATACTGTCACCATGCAGACTTCCTATTTTTAAGAATCTAACATTTGTCAGGTATTTTCTGCCACAATGGAAATGAAGCTGCTGAGTGTGCAACATAGCAGCTATGAACAAAAGACAAAATCCACTTTCCTCCAGGAAGTTACATTCTAGATAGGGAATACAGACAATAAACGAAATAAATATGATAAACTTATACTATATAAAATGGTAAGGAAGTTACATTCTAGATAGGGAATACAGACAATAAACGAAATAAATATGATAAACTTATAGTATATAAAATGGTGATAAGCCATATGTATAAAAACTAACGTAGGCAAGGAATATTTGGAAGATTGGAGGAGGGTAACAATTTAAAATAACCTGGTAATGGAAGTCCGCAATGAGAAGGTGATGTGTAAGAAATAATGGAGATGAAGAAGCTAATTAAGTGGTCATTTGGTGGGAAAGAACATTCCAGAAATAGGAGGCACAAATGCCCTAAGGTGGAGTCACATATAAAATGTTCAAGAAAGAGCAAAGAGGCCAGTGTTGCTGGAATGGATTAAGCATGGAAGATGGTAATACAAGATTTGTTTTTGTCTGCCTCATTAGCTATGTGGCCTTGGCCAACTTATTAAAATCTCTCATCCTCAGTCATAATAATATGTGTCCAACTTAACTCACAGGGTTTTAGTGGAAGTCAAATGACGTAATAGAAGTGAATGTCCTTTCTAAACCAAAAACAATGCACAAACGTAAAGATTTATGGTTCTTAGGTATCATTTTTAAGTGAAAAGAGAACCTTTATCTTGACAATTTCAAGCACACAGTTGGTTACATAGAGTCCCTTCCTCCATTTCAGGTATCATTTTGCCACAGTGTCTTCTAGAATAACATGTAGACTCAGCATTGAGAGTCGCATGTTATAGAATTAAGAAGCCAGGTATCATAATACATCATAGACACAAGCACATTTTCTGATATGACTTTTTAAAAAAAGGATAAAACAGAAAAAGGAGTTACAATAAAAATAATCTCAAGAGACAGCCATTTTACTATTTTACTTCTTCATGAGATGTTGGAAGCAAAGCAATTTTACTGAAATGTTATCAGTGAAAACTACTAGCTCTTCAATTCAACATTTATTCAGAGCTTACTATGTGCCAAATCCCGATCTAAACAGAATTGGTATAGAGAGAGATCAGTAAGACATGCTCTGTGCCTCATGTCCACCTTGTTGCAAAAGCCTGGAGTGGCACCGCTCTCACAGTTGTCTGTATGAACGATGTCCCCTGGAGGCTGTGCAGTGTATAACTCAGAAGACCATACGGGGGACCTCAATAACAGAAATTCTGTGAAAGATATAAATGTAAATCAAATAGGATACAAAGCAGATGTGTCAGAAAAATCTTGAATGACCACGAGTAATCAAGGAAAAACAAAAACAATTAATTTTACATTCTTCAGTCTGGTAGAAATCTTAAAATCTAAAAATAGCAAGGAGTGGTTAGGACATGAAGAAGTGTGTCATCCTCCTTTAAAAGTGTAAATTGATAAATCACAACAGAGAGCAAATTTCAAAACACCTAGTAAAATTGAAAATGTCCTTTCATTGCGATCCAGCAGCATTAACTCGAGATATATGTCCTTGAGAAACTGATGCATGTGCACGTTGGAATGGTGTTGTCATGGAGGTGAAAAAATTGGTGAAAATGTCCTTTCATTGCGATCCAGCAGCATTAACTCGAGATATATGTCCTTGAGAAACTAATGCATGTGCACGTTGGAATGGTGTTGTCATGGAGGTGAAAAAATTGGTAAGTGTTCAAGGGATTCCAGAGGCATGGAGCAATTAATAGCCTCAGAAAGTCTATTAGATATCTGATATCTGATAGATAGGAAGGCATTGAGGGATTTTCAAGAATCTGCCAGTTAAATAAAAGAAAGGCATTCCACCTGCAGAGGTGTGGGGTTCACAGCAGGGCAGTGAATGAAACCTGTAAGTTATGGTAAGTGACTCAGCATACTTTAAGGGAAGGTGGAAGAGAAATATAACAGGGAAGAAACAAATGCAAAGATTCAAATTTCAGATCAAGGAATTTGGGTATCTGCTTTGCTTTCTACAAAGACTAAAACAACTTGTCTGAGAATTAATGAGAAGATGTGACAATTGCAATCCCTATTTGTCTATTATGTGGGCTTTTGTTATTGGAA